AAGAACTGAAATATAAGAACTGATTTGTACGAGGGTGAAAATCGAAAACGAGGAAAACGCGGAAACTTTTTATAATCAATCATATTTGCTAATTTTATGAGAAGAGAGGTATATAATGATTAATTAAGCCTTTGTTAAATCGATTGATTAATATTTTCATCCTCGTTCAAAATCGAAAACAAAAAAGTAATCACGGCAACCTCGTAGAAGAATTGTTTATTGATTACAAAAAACGATCGCTGTATACAGCTAACCAGTATATGATGAAACCATTTCTTAATAAGATAGCTAGCATGGAACAGTTGCCAAAATTGAGATACAGATTTCAATAACCCTAGACCAATCTTTTCAATCCCAATATCTTCAGGTAGGTTATTGTCTTTTCAGCGTGCAAAAGTTTTTTAAACCTTAGGTAAACTGTAGCAATGGATTGCAAATAACCATTCCAATTTACTCGTAGCAAATTTAGTCTACCAACTAATATTTATACTCTCAGATACACCGTTATTAGCACATGGCCATAATATTTGCATGGGCGGTGTCTGCTGCAAAAGAAGTGATTCCGAACTGCTAAGTCCTTGGTGGAAAAACATGGTGCGCAGGTCAAGATCCCGAAGAATGGAGACGATTTCAAAGCCTCTTTTGTTACTTATACTGGCGGTGCCAAGAAAGGGTTCAATGGCAGCCCCAGGGGGGAACACGCTGCCATTTCTCGCCGAGATTACTTTGTATTTCGTCTAAATTTGATAAGAAAATGTATTTTTTGTGGTGTAATTCAATATTGAAACTGCCTTCACCTAACAAAAGGTTGGTTATGAGCATTCTCTAAGGCGGCGTTCATTGTTTATAACAAGGCGTTTTCCAGCATTAAAAATGAAATGAGTTAAAATTCTTGCTTTGTTCCCCCATAAGCTTGATGGGTGGCACCGCCACTATTTGGGCCACTATCCGCCACTCTATCTAGACAATTGGTCTATGTGATTCTTCTGAAATTAGTGAAAACATAAGAATGGTTTGGAGACAGATGCTCATATTCTTTAACATATCTATTCAGGGGAAATGAAATCACTATCCTACTTCCACTGTCCCGGGACAAAGATGTACAATTACTGTTCGCAAGACTTGAGGTTCACAGTTGACCGTGGTGACCTGTATGGCAGCGTTTAAAAAGGCTGTATTTCGTCATTCGAAACTTTGCTGTCAAAATCATGTTTCATAATTCTGGAGAGAACGAAACAAAAATAGAAAAAAGAGCGACCAGCATTATTTAGGGGTGTGAAATCGTCACATCTTGCCAAGGCAATGACGGGGAAGCAAAAAAAAATAAAACTGAAGACCTGGTTTAAAAGTTATGTTCAGCTTGATAAATTATGCCATCTTTAAATATTCGACAGAATCACTGCCTGCGTTGCTTGCAATATTCACACTGATCATCTCGTTTTGAATGTGAAACAAACCCTCCAGTGTCAGTCGGGGACCGCGATCGTTGGTGCCAGTATGATAGGAAGGGCGAGTCGCAACAAATTTTACGGTTCCATTCTTGCTGGGTCACTGTAAACGGGTCAGAATCAAAGAGTAAACAATCTCTTGATGTCTGCCCAGGGTTTCTGCACCCATAGCTCATTTGACCACGCCCTTTTGCTAGCAGAAAACGCCCTTTTGCTAGCAGAAAACGCCTTTTTACCATCAGATAACGCCCATGCTTCCAGAAAGGGGAAACCAATGGTTCGTGTTTTCAGTTTCAAAATTATAGAATCATGTCATGAGAAACTCCACAGAAATATTGACTCAAATTACAGAATTTATCATGGCTAGCGCAACACCCTGCCATTGACTTTGATTGGTCAACACAGCCTGCAAATCAGTAAATAACCAATCAAATTGCGATCTGGAACATTCGAATTATTAGCAGATATCGCTTATAAAAAACTCTAGTGCTTTTTTCAACAAGAAGTCTTTTAGGTCAAAGGGCATATGTCGCATTAGCAGTTGGTTAATACAGCAAAAAATCTGTGGAAAATCCTTGATCCCGGGGTTTGTACTAAACAAAACAGAAAAATGCAAATGCGTTAGCCAATTAGGTTCACGACACATGCCTTTTGAGCAGATTCTGAGAAAGTGTTTCAATATTTTACGTTATTATTCCAATTTGATGTTTTATTCCAACATCTTTGATCCAAAACTTCCCAATAAGATATCATAATTAAGGATCATGAGCAGAAACGTTCTTTGTTTTTCCTACTAACACACTGTACTCTGTCTAATTGGGAGTTTGCAAGTTGATAAATGGAGCTTAAAATTCCTTCTACAAGTTTTAGAAGGAAGTTCGTTGTTAAAAAGTACATAGCAGATTTTAACTTCCCGATTGCAACCAAAATCGATTAGAAATTGCAATCCGAAAAAGATGAGAGCAAAGTGGTACCCGAGTAAATTTAAGGGAGAGTTACAAAAGTAAAATGAAGGGTGCTAGATAATCTTCATGCTCTTGGTATCCTCGGTCAGAAATTATGGAGAATACTCACTTCAGAAATGGCGCAATTTCTCATAATGAGAGGAGTCAATGCCGACGAAAGCCTAAACGTTTTTGGATCATGAATATCGATCATTGAAACTAGAAAGGGAATTATTTGAAACTTTTAATGTTTCTATAAATTAGAAATACTTTAATGATTGTCAAATCAATGTGTTTAGTGAAGGAGAAGGAAGTCGTTTATCTATGGCCCTTGTTACGTAACTTACAAGTTTTGGCATATCATCTGAGTGAAAGCATTCTCCGTGTTTGACGCATTTTCTAATCTTTCGGTTACTTTTTTTACTCAGATCTTATTTCCAACATCGAAATATGAACCACCGTTTTAAGTACGAAAATGTAGATCTAGTTTATCACTTCTACGTAGGAAAATTCCACGAATTTAGCAGGAGATTTTACTCTCTCAAACCCATGGAAAAGCAGACAGGAGGCTCACTGACAGATATTTTCATATATCTACCTGTTGTATCCACCCACCGTCAGGGTCTACTAAAGGTTCGATTTTTGAGAATAGCACGGAAAGCGTGCTAGAGTTTATTTCCTCGCACACTCCACAGAGTATGAGCGTCGTACAATGACAAAAGATAAGCAGCATTTTACAACCACATACGGATTGAAAGTCACGTTAAATGAAGAATGATGCATTCGATTGGCTCCTTGATTGTGACCAATCAGCTGCCACAAACCCATAACATTGCTGAAGAATCCAACAAAGAAAACGAACAAAAATAATCGATTTTTTTGTCTATGCAAAGCACTTGGTAAAAAGATTAACTTTCTTTCAAAATTTTCGTCACTTAAGATCCTGGACAAAATATTCATCGCTGTACCTTGAATTTATCTTTGACTGGGAAAAGGGAAAAATCTTAAATTTCTTAAAAAATCTTTCTTTCCCTTTCGTATCAGCGTTGCTTAAAGATCGCTACTGGCTTAAGTGATTTTCACTTGATTTCATTCGTTTTTACTCTATAACCAACAACATTTTAGAAAAAGTGGGCACAGGGAGCATCCTTAAATCTATTATCGCTTCCCCCCTGCCCCGAATTACTTCTGCTTCGATGTGGGCATCTCTTCTATTTAAACACAGAAAACAGAGGGAGGGAATGGGACATTCCATAATTTATGGTACACTGCACCTGTTCAGGCGATTGTCTCAATAACAGTCATAGTTGTCCCCAGGATTCAGTATTAGGACCTCTACTCTTCGTTACTGCGTGCATTAAAGAACTTTCTTTCATACGCAGGTTAGACTCAAAATTCCTCATACAACACCGAGATTAATTGCTCTATTTCAAAAGAATTTGTTGAAAAAAATTGGGTAGTTTGAGAATCATCACTTGAAACAGAAAGAGGCACTTAGACAGAGATTTTGCTTAATCATTAAAAAGGAATAAAAGTGATAAATTAAGTAATGAATTAAGTATCAAACGAATTGAATATATCTAAAAGAATTCAAATTAGGTTTTCATTAGCATCACATTAAATTGGAGCTGCTATCCGTGCTAAAATCATCTTTTTCTATGAAAGAAAAAAGTTATTCTTAGCTTAGGTTGAACATCATTCGAGAAAAAATGATTAATTTCACGGTGAATACAGTTCAGCTTTCTTCTACCTCAGTTTCACCAAAGCTACATTTCAATGTGCCATATTCTGCTTAGTTACAGTTTGGCAAGAAAGAGATGCAGTGAATATGGTCGCGGACTACAGGTCTAAGAGTCCAGTGCTTGAGTCCCTGACATGACCAAATTTTCACCAAGATAGAGGGGAGTCGCCAGCTCTGTGCAATTCCAGGCGTAGAAATCACGATGCTTTAACACATTGAGAGGAAGGACCAGGACACTGCTCGAAACTACCCTTGGGTTCTAGGTAGAAGCAAACACAAATGCAAGTTGTCTTCTGCTTGTGAAAGGCGTTAGGTCATTAGGAGAATATGTTGCTTGATTTTCGATTACGTTCCCTGTTGTGCTTCGATTGCATATAGGAATCTTCTTGTAGAATGTCAGTGACAGATGTTTGTATTCAGGCAATGTGGCCTTGCGTACTTGCAAGACATCGAAGTGAATTTCTTCTGAAAACTCATCTCTTGTCTCTCTCTCTTTATCCTCCGCATTTTTCCCTACCACTCCTTTTCCTCGACACTTTGATGCTCTGAAACCCAGGTTATAAGCTCGTGTGTTTTTTGTTGAGATTTCGATCTAGAGCTACGTTGTACTTTTCTGTGTGCAGGCTTTGAGCATAAACAGCTTTCCGATGGTACATTGATACAAACTCCAAAAGGGCAAGAAGAATTAAACTTGCAAAAACAATAGAAGTAAGCCCGGTCTGCAACAAGAGTATTTAAACTGGAATCCAAGAATTCAAGAAAAGCACACAGCTTTGACTTAAAAATTTTGAGGTCGTTTAAATGTAATAAGAAGGGAATCAACTCAATGGTAGTTTCTCAATAAAATGCAAAATTGTTAAAACATACCTTTACTTCGGGCAATTGACAAAAACATTTTCCATCTTGCAAGGTTCTTGACAGAAAACGGTTTTAGTTACAACATCTTTTTGCAGTACGCTATTAAACTTTGCCTTAAGTACCAACTGCGTATTGACGTCATTGCATGGTCCAGCCATGGTCGCGAAGTGTCTTGGAATGGCACCTGTTCTCTCTGGTAGGATATTTCAAACAAATAGATTCAAGTCGCTTCAAAAATTTTATGATGATCAGACCTAAAAACTAGTCATATTGCAGAGGTAAATTTACAAATATTTTTTCAAAATTTTCTCATCACCGTGCCCATTATTGTAAAGTATAAAACATTCAGACAAAAAATTCCTACCAAAAAAATTAAATGCGAATAAAATCATCAATTTAGGACTAATTTAGCCAAATATCTACGTATTGAAATATCTTTAACTTTTTCTAAATTTTCTTCCAGCTGGAAAAAACTTAGACCAAAAATGCATTAAACTGAGGATATATCAAGCGCTTTTCGCATCGAATGAAAATGAACATCATCCTGCATAATGTTTAATACACAACCTGCTTTTCCCATCAAAACAGCACCAACACGTTTTCAGGACCTTTTTAAGATCATCAAATCTGTCATAAAGCAGAAAACCTTTTGCTTGTTAGCTAGATGCCAGGTTGATGCCAGTTAGATGCTATCAAAAAACAACTAGCTTTTAGGGGCTATTTCACAAGATGACGTGATAGATCCTTACGGCAGTCAGGATTAGTTTCTGGATCCGCCCCTCTAGGAAATCACATCTATGAAATATCAGGAACTTGCCCAAGGAATATCAGTCTAATGAAGAGCACTAAAAAGAGCAAAAATTAAAAGAAAGAAAGAAATGACGAGATTAAAGTACATATTTAATATCACTCACTCGTCAAAGTGAAAAGCTGTGATCCAGGCCCGCTCCTTTCCTGCTCAAGGGTTCTTTTGCTGTTTGTTGTTGATTTCTGATCCTCCAGTTCTGTTAGAGAAATACCTCTCACACCGTTAGACAATAGACATGGAAAAAATTGATGTACACAGTAACAAAAAACTGCTACTTTGTCTGCACTGCATCATGTGAAAGTCAGTTGTTACCCCTTAGCTGTAGACTCAAAATATCTAATGCCCACTCAATTTCATGTTTTTCAAACCAACTGTTGGGATTTTTGCCTCCTCTCACCATATTGAATTTTTATAACTTTTGTGATCTGTTGATTCCAGCAAATATACTCTATGTAAAATGTTATGTGTTGAATTTTGTAAATTAGAATTATAATATAAAGCCAGTGAAAACCTAAGAATGTTTCAAATCAAAATAAGATCAGAGTAGCATTGGTGACAGCGGTGGGATACCCACAACTCTGTTACTGTGTGTTGCTAGTAGAAAATTGTCGATCATCTTGATATTGTTTTGACCAACAATCGTACTGTATACATAAACAGTGAAGCTCTTATAACTTTGCTCGCCTTGAAAGGAACTAAAGGCTTTCCAAAAAAGAAGAAACAAAATTTTGAAATGTTTTAATGGGGTACGAGCAACAACAGATACCTTTGATGCAGTCATATATGGAATAGAATAAAAGACCTAAGGTTGCCAATGAAAAGTGTAAATAATGGAAAAAAGTCATTTTCCTCTGAGGTGGGATGGAAAGCAACTCAAAATTCATTAGAAACAAGAAAGAAAATGCCCTGCTGAAATACATATGCGATTAATTAAACATAATAGTGCCCTAGAAAACAAATAGGTTTGATCTTACTCCCTTCCTATAAAAAAATCAAGGGCCTAGGACCTCTTGCAGGTCTTTTCAATTCACAATATAATGTAATTCAAATGCTTACTTGCACAATCAGGCCATGGCCTTCCTCCAACACCGAGATTTACATGTCGCAACAACGGTCCAAAACCAGTGACTCCATACCAAGTCCCATCCGCTGAACATGTGTAGACAAAATAAGTCTTGTCGTCATCTTTGGATCTTACTTTGTCAAAGCCAATTCGGCATGCAAAAGTGCAAACCACAAATCTTCCCATCGGATGATAGCAAGTTAAAGCTCCATTTCTTGGTTGATCCTTTATATTACAAATGCTTTTATGATCTGTGGATAAAAAGGCGATATTTTTAAAATATACAGCCATTTTTTTAGGTAAATATCAAGACATTGCTAACTGTAAATTAACAGCATAAATTTGGTTAGTGTTCCACCAACACGTCCATTTTGAAAATGAACAGGAGGTAGCAAATGTGGCACCTGCACTCAATGATAGAGTGGTTTAAGGTTCGAAGGGGGAGAGATGGCAAAATGTATCAAGACTTGAGAATGCATTGGCACTCTATCATTGATTTGAGTAAAGTAATTCTCGAGCCATCCACTTCTGTTTAGGCTTCTTAGCAACAAAAGAAAAACTTCATGGCTACTTTACTTATGTTCATTGTATCTGAGTTTATCTGGTTTTCTTTTGCCGGTTTACTCGGGCAAAAAATCGGGCAAAAAATCGGGCAAAAAATCGGGCAAAAAATCGGGCAAAAAATCGGGCAAAAAATCGGGCAAAAGCCTTCTCCAAAACCAAAAAGACTACATTTCAAAATTTTTATAAACCTGAGAGAAACAAAATGAATTGATCATGATCGTGAGCGCTTTTGGAAGCAATCAAAATAAAAAATTTGTGCAATTTACATAATAATTCTAAATGAAACGAGAAAACTTTCTAAGAAATTATAGATGTTATCCTTTCTGCATTTATATTTCTAAAAGCTCGATAGTGGACAGGATTTCCCAACTGTTTGTAATCGTGTAAATGTTAAACATATTGCTAATGATAGGACTTCGATGCTAGAACTTTGCTAATTAGTCGTCAAAACGACTTCAAGCACTTGTCGGTGAATGTTCTTCAAATGTGTCAAACTCAAAGTCACCTGGTTGTACTAGAGAATTGATTTTTACTACAATATAATGGATAAAGTCTTTGCAGAAATCTATACGCGATTGGGTGTCAATCACCAGAACATTTTGCATGCTTAAGGGAATGTATGCGTTAATGCTAAGCCTGTGACAGAAAGCATCAGAAAAGAAATGTAACAAAAACTCTTCAATAGCCACAAAATAAGCACCCCATTCTACCAAAAATTTGCTAAAAATCATGCATGATGACAATGTTTCGGATATAGGTCCCCAATTTGCTGAAATGATGCAGGTTCTATGCCAGCAGCATCATGCTCAGCAGGACGATCATTCAGCTCGCTAAGACTGAAGCGCATAAAGACATATCTCCGTAACACAATGGGAGAAAAGGCTCAAGAATGTTATTATACAACTCTTGTTCTAATAAAAGATATCGAAAAGTTTATTGATATATTTGGTCATTGGAAGCGATTCGTATTAAAAGTTAATGAAAAATCGAAAACTATTTAGTAACGTTCTAGTGTTTTTGAAATATCGTTGAGATAAAAATGCTCACAAGTTTAACTCATTTTTAGCTAATAGTACTAGAAGCTTAGATGTGATAAAAGTATTTTCGGTGAAAATTTGGACATTTGTATTCTTCCGGGAAAAAAATTTACCCCCCCCCCCCCTATCTGCACTCACCCCGTGCGCCTAAGCATATGTTAATCGCATCTGAGTTTATCTAGTTTTCTTTCTTTATTTATGACTCTAGAGACCCTTGACAATATCTGCAAAACATCTGTGTTTCTTCTTCGCTATAGGAAAGCTCTTGCCAGTCCAGCTTTTTGAGTTATCGATGATTTGTCTCAGACAACTTTTCACAAAATCTCTCGTAAATACGTGCACTAAGTTCATAGACTTTTTATAGTTGAAAGCACAAGCACCGTTATGAATGATCTTTGGATCCATCCTACAAGCATGATTGTACCAAGATTAATCATGTGGACACAAAAAGAGCTGATTCCAGTGACAGGGACAACCCTTGTTTCATGGTAAACCATAAATGTTTGAAGAAGACTCCAAAGAGGAACAGGAAATTCGATAAAATATACTTGCTTCCTGTTGCCTCAGTTAGAGGCATGTCTCAACTGGCCTACAAAACCTGAATTACTGCGAGTTATTCTAAAGTACGAACGAAATAAAGTTATAAAACGTTTCTCACCTTTCGAGGCGGAAAATTTTGATTCTTTTGTGCTCTTTTTTTGCACGAGAGTTCTTTTGCTCTTTTGAGATAATCTTTGTTCTTCCAGCTCTGTTGAGAAAATTAACATTTTTAGTTAAAATGCTAGACCAGATTCCTTCTATGGAAATTGCTCTAATGTTTCAAATTACGACAAATAATCCAAAAAGGTCAAAGAGCAGAGCAGAGCAGAGCAGAGCAGAGCAGAGCAGAGCAGAGCAGAGCAGAGCAGAGCAGAGCAGAGCAGAGCAGAGCAGAGCAGAGAGCAGAGCAGAGCAGAGCAGAGCAGAGCAGAGCAGAGCAGAGCAGAGCAGAGCAGAGCAGAGCAGAGCAGAGCAGAGCAGAGCAGAGCAGAGCAGAGCAGAGCAGAGCAGAGCAGAGCAGAGCAGAGCAGAGCAGAGCAGAGCAGAGCAGAGCAGAGCAGAGCAGAGCAGAGCAGAGCAGAGCAGAGCAGAGCAGAGCAGAGCAGAGCAGAGCAGAGCAGAGCAGAGCAGAGCAGAGCAGAAAAGAATAATACATATAAAATTCTTACCTGTGCAGTCAAGCGATGGCCTTCCACTAAGCTTTATATACTTTCCTGGCGATATATGGGTAAAATGATTAATTCCATACCAAACCCCATCAGCGGAGCAGGCGTAGACAGAAAAAGGTTTGTCGACACCTTTGGATATTACTATGTCAAAGTATCTCTTGCATACAAAACCGCAAAAAATCCATTTGTCTATGGGCTCAGAGCAAATTAGAGTTCCTTTTTTTGGTTGATCAGCATTGATAGCACAAATTCTTTTATGATCTGTGTGGATGAAAAGGCAAGATTGTTAAAATACACTGCCATTCTTAAAGGTAAATATCAAGACATTTATTGCTTATTGATCCAACATATTAAGTTATTTGTAAAACTTAGAAATACGATAGATGAAAGGTAAACATGAATAGAAGCTAACCAATGAGGTGCAATAACCCGGAAACGGGTATAAATGACATAGTGTGGCAAGACATGAGAACACATCGGTTCTCCATATTGGACCTTTCCTCGGATCAAGCAAGGTACTAGTCATCTAAATCTGCTTGGCCAGTGCATGGCCAAATGGCTTGCGACTTCTGCATGAACAAGGTGTTGCTAGTGATGTGCTTTGATTTTTCTTCTCAACCACATCAAAAAGGTTGGGATGATTTTAATGTCTGATTTTGCCACTGGCGTCTAAAAAGTGATCTCGATGACGAGAGAACACCATCCTAAGTCTTGTGATGGTCAATTATTCTGTGAACCATCTTACTATTATTTGGTAACGTTTTTTACGTTAATCAGCAAAAAATTTCAAATTAGGAGCTAAACAAAACTTGAAAAGTTGACTCACCATTGGAAGCAAAAGATTTTAGTCCTTGCTCGCTTCTTTTTTGCAGGAGAACTCGTTTGCTGTTTTCTGACGATATCTGGTCTTTAAGTACTTGTAAAGAAAATTACATCAATACGTCACATTGTAATAAGGTTTCTTTCATAAATATCAACCACATATAACATGGACTGATGCCATTTAGCCGTGAAATCTATTTCTCCACATGGAAAACAGGCAGGACGCATTTTTTGAAACTCCGGGAGAGACAGATTCAGATAAGCTACATCAATCTTAGCAACATTCGTAGCTGTATCCGGTGAGCCTCCTAACAATCTGGCAAAGGGCTCTATTTTTGAAGAAAATGACCCCATTCTAAAAAATACAAAACTTGCGTTTCGATGTCTCATTAGGGATCATGTACGTCATGGGTTATATGGAGACTGAATTTAGCGTCATAACATGTGATTGTAAAAAGGGTTCTAAACAAACAGGATTGTCTTGCGTAGGTTATGGAAGGTTATTTTCTGGAATTTTGTTTTTGATTTATCTGGAGCTCTAAAGTGTGTTTGTTAATTGTTCAAAGTAAATAAAAAATAAAATGATCTCTAGCATTTTACTGCATCATTTCCGTGGAAAAACTTTGCTAGCAGCTTCGAAATTTTATAAACATTAGTAAATTACAATATCTTCATCCTCTTCAAAATCATCAGGATCAATCGATAATCCTGGGACGTCTTCTAAATAAACTCCGTCCTCTGGTATAAAAGGAGAGGCTCAAAAGACAGGAGGGCTTCTTTGCCTTCAGATTTTTTCTTAATAAAGGTGCTTAGTAAAGCTTTTATTGTAAATCTTTCCAAACGGCAAAGGGTCGAGTCAAAGAAAGCAGCAAAGTAAGGAGTTATGATACTGTAGCTAACTGAAACTCAGCGCTAACTATTTCCTTTACTCATCGCATTAAGAAAATGCAATGTTAATGGCATTTCAACTGAGGTCGCTGCATCATCTTGAGGATTCATCTACCCAATAATCTAGTTTTTTGTTCCAAATGACTGTTGAGTATGAAATACGAAAGGGTGAAGATATTGCCACATGGAATGAAAAACTGACATGTACAAAGAATGAACATTATTAGCCAGAATAAACACTATAGACTAGTATAGAAATGGTTTAGCTAAAATACAATAACTGTGCAAAACTGGTTATCAGAAAAGAAGGAAAAACTGTTGCAACTTGCTAAAGGCAAAAGGAGGACAGGACCGATCACTGGCTTTTTGGAATGCAAAAGAAGAAATGCAACTTCTGATATCATTTGATTCGAGTAGTTCCCAAAAGGATAGAACTAAACATTTTGTTAAAATACCTTATGTCAGCACCTAATAAGTCTGAAAAACAGACAACAAACTAATCAAGCAGATGATTACCAAAACTTCGAGGGAACCTTCTTATTGTGATTTGGCTGTGATATTATGGTTAATTAATATATCAAATTAGCTATAAAGAAAATAAATTTTATGAAAGCATCTGCAGTTTGGCCCTATCTGTTGACATAGAAAATCTAAGAGAAAATCTTAACTCTCTTACAAAGCTTAAACTTTGAAAAAAAAATAACTTTGGCTTTTGCATCATATTGAGATATTCTTGATCAACCGTTTCTTTTCTCAAATTCAGTATTGAGAAAAGGTTGCAGAAAAATAGATTTAGTTAACATTTAATTCTAGGTGAGACATAAACTTTCAATGAGCTTTATTTTTTAATCATTATAGCGTGAATTGATATAAAAAAAGAGAAGAGAAGAGAAGAAAAGAGAAAGGAATGGAAGCCAAGAGAAGCGAAGCGAACAAAAGAGAAGACATAACAAAACATAACAGAACATAACAGACCGTAACAGAAGATAACAGAACATAAAATAATAGAAAATAACATAACATAACATAACATAAACATAACATAACATAAAATAGCATAGCATAGCATAGCATAGCATAGCATAGCATAGCATAGCATAGCATAGCATAGCATAGCATAACAGAAGAGGAACACAACAGAACAGGAACAAAACAGCTAAAATTCTTACTTGAGCAGTCAGGCCATGGCCTTCCACTGAGTTTTACAAACTTCACTGGCGATGTATAGGTAAATTGATTATATCCATACCAAAGCCCATCAGATGTGCACATGTAGAAGTCATAAGTGTTTGTCTTGTCTTTAGATCTTACAATGCCAAAGCCTTTTTGGCATGCTACACTGCAAATAGTGGATCCTCCTTCATCTTTATGGCAAACGAGAGCTCCATTTCTGGGTGGGTTTATCAATTTACAGTGGTCGTTTGGAACTGTGGATGAAAGAGAATCATATAAATTAAAACCTCATAAGAGAATGCAACAAATCAACCCACCAATTTTGATGCAGCACCTCTTGCAACTTGTTATTTTCCACCATTCTGATAGCAAAGGCATAGGATCCGGCCCATTTTATATCAGATTCGATGCATGCCGTTCTTATGAACGAAAACTGTCCCAATAGACATTAAAATTGTATAAGCACTGAAGACCTCTAAAAAGCGCAGAGGGTGTAATACTGCACACTCTAAGTTGAATTTCTTTACAGGGACGTCAACAAAAAACATGGTTTACACACGGCCCCTAAAATAACAAAACAATTAGTGGATGATACATCCTCTAAAAACACTTTATTCTTCATTTGTCACTGGACTTGTGGCACATATATCTGGTTCCAGGTATAGCACATACATTCAAAGGAAGATTGTAGAGCGAGTCCAAAAAGATGGCCGACGCTTGGCCTTCAAAGGCCCTTTGAGTATGACAAAAAGAGATGTGGGAAAACGTTAGCATTATTGTAAAAAATATTTCAGAAGTTCATTTTATGAAAAAATAATGAACATCAATAGCGGCATACTTATTTTGTGTCCGTTGATGAATAAAGGCAGAAACAATCCCAGAATGAATACGAAGCAGGAAGGAGTCATGATGAATCTGGGCTGTTCACCGTCTTCAGTCTTCGTGGACTGCACCAGAGTTTAACTTCATGATTTATGTGACAGGTTAAAGTACTTTTTTTGAAAGAAGAGCTTTAAGGTGAACAAATTGCCGGATAACTCATGTTTGCTTACTCATTTGTTTACGTATCGCTTTAAAAAGGTACTTAAGTTGCAAAAAGCATTTTAAGAGGTACAATTATAAGAAGATTATGCTCCAACGCCATCATTATTACAGATTTCAGAAAGAACAAGTCAACAAATAATACTAGCGTGTCCTATGTTTAAGGATTGCAAAACTCCGAATATTTTCATGCACATTTAACCAAGCAAGTATTAAAATCATTCCTATTGCTGAATATCAACGTATAATTTCTAGGTTTTTATTTTTAAGATTTTACATTAGCTTTAATGTAACATTGCCACTTCAAGAGGCCTTGTTAGTACAACTGGTTAAAATTTGAACAGATAAATCAACAACTGGAAGAAGGCACCTAAACAGTGTTTTGATTACCTTGCATGTGATGCTAATAGGTTACATACGGTAATGTCTCTAGAACATACGGTAATGTTTGCTTATTCGTTAACTCTAAAAATGCGGCCTTAAAATCTAGACAGCAGATAAATAGGGATGGAAACGGGTAAGGGTAAGCTAGGAATGGGTAAGCTAGAATGAAAGCAGGACTCAGTATTCGACTATCTTCAAATGTCAACCAGAGCAGTTTGGTTTCAAAACATTTTGTGCTGAAACAAGAATCATATTCAACATCGAATCACTCAGAATACATACTATGTTAGTGTATTCGAATAAAGAAATATATATTTTTTCTTACATTTTAGCTCTTTCGTTTCCAATATATTTATTTGCATAATGCCATTTCGAAATTATAGTGCAAATTTCATTTTTTAGGGCAATTTGTATCTTGCTTCCCTTCTTATAACATATTTTTTGGCTGTTCCATTGCCTGGTACGCACGTTAAAGGACACGTGGTAGGACATTCGAATTATTATAGCTTAAATCACATTGGTCAACAGTCCAGATCCTGCACATTTATTAACTTTTTATAAAAATAATGACCTTAAATACCTACAAGTAATAAAATAGTCAATGATTCTAGCTTGGTCACATATTTATGATCAATGCTATAATTCCATGCTTCTATGCCATTTGCTGTACCTTGAAATTCTTCGTCACATTAATGCTTCTTCATTTATGTTTTTCATTGGTCAACAAAAGCCAGCAGGTTAAATGGTTTTACTACCTGATATGCTATATGGCATCAACAGAATTAGTTTGAATTTTTGGTTCTAGATTTAAAGAAATTGTGAATCCACCAAGAACTGTATATGAGATTTACGGTAAACAAAGGAAAACATATAATTTCATTCTCAAACCTTCAAAGGGGCCCCCGCGATGGAATTAATGGCATGAAAAATCAATTGAAGAAACTCTGCGCGAGAAGAGATGCCACAAGGAAAAGGCCGTCATATTGAAAAAATAGATGTTGAAAACTAAAAGACTTTGTTCTCAGAAAGATATGTAAAATTGCACAAGAAAACATAAAAAGGTAGAGAAGGCGAAGTGCCTTTTGAAGCCCATAGTACATGGGCGTTGAAACACAAAACTCGTAGACTAAAAGGCAATCGAGATAGCTTGGCCAATCCATTTGCTTGCTGTCTCCTCAACAGTGTCGCCATGTTGTGGAGACGAAGGACAGGAAATCTCTTGGTAATCGAGCCCATTCGTGCATATTCGCGATTTTCATGTCATTGCGCATGTTCAAAACAAATAAAGGCTTGTAGTTCTTGGTCTTCGCAAACGTAGCATTTGTCATGAATACAAAACCAGGCATAATATTCCAGTTTTAAATGGCAGCGATTTGGGGAAATTACAAATACAGAAAGCCGTATTTAGAAGAACTAGATTTCTCAACACAGCCGCACCCAATATAATATTTCGTAACAAAATAGGGGTGCATAAACAACTTGGTTTTGAAACACAATATATTCAAACTCTGGTGTTTTCTAGAAACTTTGCAATGAAGATAATCGTTCCGATCAAAATGACATCACCAAGAAGTTTCCCCAGGCCCTTCTAAAGCTCTAAAGGCTGGTTTATACTATAATATCAAAGATCTTTGATAATATTTCCATCATATTTTGATCACATTTTTTGAGTCATCATATTGCTCTAAGAGAAAAATATGATAGTCGTCATACTAGAGCCATCACATTACTCTAAGATTTATTTGATTGTTTATTAAAATAGGTTGATCATATTTCCATCATATAATTTTTTTTCTGACTATGGCTCAGAAAAATTGCCCTGTCATCAAAGATCTTAAAATATGTCGGCATTCCTGGCCTCAGTTTGGAGAAATAATGAAATAAATGTTGATATTTTGCGGAAAATTTTAAAATAAACCATATCATGATGACAGAAGAAGTATATTTTAGGCCAACTTCACTGGTAAGGCCCCGTTCCCAGGACCGCCGAAAGGTTTTTGTGGCTCTGCAGCAGAACAGAAAGACGGGGCCCAATGCGAATGAAGCGAACAGAAAACTTCTGTGACCATGCCCTTTACATTAGCCTAAATTTATTCATCTTCTTGAAATATTTTTTATCTATTTTCAGAATCAATTCAATTTTAAAACGTAATTCATTACTTTACGAGGCCTCCTAGACCTTTTGGACCTAAGGCAATCCCCCCCACCTCTTGGCGGCTCTGCCCGGTCACACAGCTCCATTTACGTTTTAAGATGGACTAAATCTATCTGTTTTTTCTTTTTGTCCACACTGCCCTGCTACGAAAATGAAGTCATTTGAAAACGCCAACAATAACAACAACGTAAATCAAAATGGCATTTGTTATTACAAACATTTTATTCACAACTTAATTTCATATAATCTTATTAATTTTGCTTCCAATTTGGTAAGGATTCGTAGAAGCCTCTATTTAAAAATGAGGCTAACAACAGCGTTGTTGTTGAAGCAGTGTGAACTCTTACCGTATTTATAAAAGTATTGTAAACCGGCAAGTTTGAAAGGGTTTCATTTTTATCAACAAAATCGGAAAAACGGTAAAGGAAAACTGATAGTGGTGTTAGCTGCCACAGCAAGAATTCTCGGCAGTGCCTTGAGATAGCCGCATTTCTCTATTTCTCTTCTCCGTAAAAAACACTCTTTAAAAGGTCATGTTCATTGTTAAAAGGTCAGGGAAATTCCCAGCTATACGCAGTGCACACTGTCATGTTCATTCACTTCGAAGAAATACAAGAAGTAGGCAAGTGACGAATTCGCAGAATTCAGATTGGGTGATATCATTTTGGAATCAAAATCTGAAGCATTTGTGAGCTACGTCAAGGCTTATTGTATTGATCAAAATGAATCACAACTGACGTCAAGACAATGAAAGGTTTTAGCAGGTATCTCGATACAACCTGATTTTTCGGTCCCTATACAATAAGATGCATACAGTGTCATGGCCTTTGAAGTTGTGCTGCAAAAAGTTTCATGGAGAATTGCACTCTTTCATTTAAATTTCCGCTTATCCTCGCCTTATATTTGATCTCTTAAGGACCATTTTTGTAGGGGTCCATATCCGTGGGTGCAGTTCAATTTTCCGAAAGTTACACGTTGATATGGCTCAATAGAGATTGGTCTAATACCAAGGAGGTCACTGTAATAAGAACAATAAAATGTAGCAATAATGGCACCGAAGTAATGACGTCACAACAAACTATTTTTAGAATTTTTCAATTTTGACCCTACATCCCTAAAGAGCATCAAGAAATACTTCTAACTGTGCTATATCAGTTGGATGTGGCACGAATTGGCTGAGATATGGCAATATAAGCACATGCTCAAAACTCTATGAACCAGGCCAGAAGAACAGTAATTCCGTTAGCAAACTTGAAATCTTTCATTGGCCACATCTCACCCAATTTTGAACATCTCTAACTGATTTTGCATGTTGAGGGGTATGTTATGCCATTCTCTCAGATTATGTGATCAAAATTAAGAAATTCTAGGGTAGAAAATAGGATGAAATTTGAGGAATTATTAAAATTTATTTTTCAAAGATGTCATATATACAATAAATGAAAACTTGAGGCAGACATCTTCAGAAATTCAACATTTGTTAGAACTCAACTAAAATGAGAAATACTATCAATGATAATAACTACATTATGAAACAGCCAAACTTAATGTGAATGACTATTAGTGTGATATCTAACTTTTAGTCAAGACAAAACAATAGATTACAACAAAAACACAATTAATTACACCTTTGTGTAATGCGTCAAAACAGTCTGTTTATTAACTGCTAAAGAATATAGCAAGCATAACAGTTCATTCAACATGAGAAGAGATAAGAATGTAGAAATATATTCTATGAAAAAAATTGATGTTTAACTTGAGCTGATACAGAAACTATAACAAAAGCATTTTGCAACATATTTAGAAATGTTTGCTAGCATTGAATTTCAAAGCATTTTGGGAAAAGAAAACTTAACTTGAGGAGTACATACCTTTCAAACATAAAAACATGGGGATGAAAAAAGGACTAATTTTTACACACAGCAATATACTAACATCTTCAGCAAAAATTGCAAATGGCTATGACACAACTACATAAAAACAACATGAATATAGAGACAAAACTCAATTATATTTTTCACTAAGTGCTTCAAATTTTGGATTTGTTAATATAGCTTAAAAGGCAAGTTTCCAAATATCAGTAAGTAGTTCTTACTTTGATTTTTCATTTGCTGGCAGTATTGCTTATAGCAAATATGGCATAATTATATGCTTCTACCATGCCAAATTTATTTTTAAACTATGCTACTGGAGACTGGCTTTCAATTTTCAATATTCAAGGACTACTAGATGTTAAAAAGTTGATGCTAGATAGATGGGGAATGTTAGGAATAATGGTCTTGCATTCAGATACTCTTGCAATCTTAGATACTCTAAATTAAAGTCAGTTTAAGTTATGAACACAAGAAATTCAAGATATCAAACAATATTTCAAACTGTTGAATGGGTACTTGAGAATAGCTAGAAATGGATATTGTATATACAGGTTTTGTAACTTTGGTGCTAATGCACGAGCGCAAATCTCAGCATGTGTGCATTCATTTTAAACCTCATATAGGCCTTTTGCAAGAGATGCATGTTAATGCATGCACTCAAAATTAGCATAATAATTGAATCACTAAAATAGAAGTTTTATACCCACCGATGGAAATATTTCCCCTCTGCAATTGAAATCATTAACATTTTCATTATTCATAGTGCAATTAAGTAGCTTTTCTACTGTTCAACAGCTAAAAGGTAAATATCAACTATAAATTACTCTAAATCTTTTCAAACAATCAGCTCTCTTCCTCAAAAAAATTGATAATAGCTTCATATACCAGAAAACATATTGCAGTGTTTGGAATTTGTCTAACTAAGTTGGTACCAAAGCCACCATATAGTCCAACACGTCCCTCTTCCTTTGCAACAGTTAGCAATGTTTGTATGAAATTTCTATATTTCAATTGTCCACTATTTCCATCCTTTATATCCTGTCTCAACCTTGTCCTTACTACTTCATGGGGGTACATTATCACTGTTGCTGCCAACTTTGATGCAACTGATCCAAATACATAATCTGATATGTGAAATTTTTCTTTATTTGTCAAGTGTCTGTGGCTTTTCAAGCGCTTTTTGATATCCTCATATACAATGAAATAAATTATTGTTTCGAAAATCCCTACATATGAGGCACTCATGCCTCTGAAAAATGCTCTCATTCCATGAGTTCTATATGCATTTTGAACACAGTCCAAAATAGTGAGTTTTTGTTGGTTATGGTGCAGCTGTAATTGCGTTTTGATAAACCAAACTGGGTTTGTCGCAGTGCTTGTTGACAAACCAGCACAAACGGCCGCTAACGTAAAAACGGGCCTACTTTCACTCTCAAAGTATGCAGACTCGTTCAATGTCGATTTAACCTTCGAGTAAACGAGAAAATAAACTGACTTTGCTGGTGCAACTCCAAGAGCATTGGGTAATAGGCCTCTGAAAAGCGAAGAAGTACCCTCTGTCCTAACCATGTATCTCATGTATGAAAATAGTTGGTACAGGTAATTCCTCCTCAGAAATGGCTGTGCATGAAACGTAAACCCTCCAGGCAAGTGCAGAGTGCTAACCCCACTTTGACCAGCTAAATTCAATACAGGTGACTGAACTACATCAAAGCTTTTTAAAAATGTTGACTGTAATCTCGTCTGTACGACTTCAAGAGGGCATGTTGTTGCCGATGCCATTGTCGCACCAATACCACCGGCCATAAGGTGCACAGCGCTGCTTGGTATCATGTCCCGCCATCTTTTCGGGTCTTCCGAAGCAAAATGTTTTTCTTTATTCATGTCCCTTGTTATTTCAAAATCTAATAAACGTTGAGAATTGCCACAAAATATTCTTCTGCTTTTACCGCATTTTACCTCTTACTTACTGGTGATGTCGAAAGTTCAACAAGGAACAGCAACAGCGCTCGCCTTGCAACCTCGGTTTACGATCCGCTATGACGTCATAAAACAGGATGAACCTGACAGTCCGCATTTCGACAGAAACGCTAGAAAGTGTGCTTCCTTTTAGATACGCGAATATAAAAACCTCGCTTGACTGAGAAATATCATAGTTTGGTATAAATTTATTTCATATAAAGATTCAAACAATGCTTTCCTCGTCTTCAGAGCAATACAATTGGCAATTTAGTTATTTTCCAATTTTGAACCAGATTGCCCAAGATTCACATTATACACAAAATAAAAAGGCTGTCTTTGATACCGGAGAGATTATAACATAAGTTTTGCATTTAATTTCTTTGCCTTTCAATGGCATTACCTTCTAGGCCATCAAACAGCCACTCCCAAGAGTTCAGAGAGAAAAAACTTCAGTCCATTCATCGAGGTTCTAAGAAACCGCTGGTAATTTGTCGTGACAAAAACTCAACGTTCACCTTGACGATGGTTGAAATCACAACAATCATCTTTAGGGACCGCGGAAGCAGGGGGCTGAGAGGGCTTAGCCCCCTAATTATTTTGAAAATGTAAACAATTACATGAGAAAAATGTGGGGGGGGGTTGGTATTTGGCACATTATTTTTTGATGTGGCTCTTTATTTCGAAACTGTCTTTAAGTAACCAAACGTTACTCGTGATCGTTCGCAATTTGCAAAATTAGCGTTCCCGGTTGGTAAAGTGCGCCTCCTGAAGGTAAAAGGGCGTGGTCTTGTTCAAAATACTGCCTTCCCCCCAAAAAAAGTCTACCGGTTGGCGCTGCCAGTGTGTTTGGGTTACTGGTAGCAGTTTTGCTATTTGTTTTTATGAAAAGCGAAAGTGATGCAATTTGTTGCTAGCAGAGGCGGCAAGATACAATATAAAAGCAATCGTGCATTTTCAATAGCATTATCAAACTTGATTTTTTATACAAGAAAGAAGAAAGGGATGTCATCTGCCAATATAAAACGCACTGTATTAGTTAAAACAAGCTTTGTTTGAGATTGTTCCTCTTTGAGTAGAAAGAATCATAATCAGACGCAAGGTGTTTCGAGCTGCAATTTTTTAAAGGAACGAATTCGAAAATGCGGTTAATAATTTTTGGTCTTGGATACAATGACCCATCATGACGAAACCAGCCACCAATGCCAAAATTCCACATCTTGTTTGCCAAGAAGGAGCTTGGCAAGAAAAGGATCCATCCATTAACATGTTCCACAAACGTACACGAGTTGATGGTTCACAGAGCTTTTGGAACATAGCAGATAGAAATTTTAAGTTTAGATAAATAAAAGACCTTCTAAGGAGAGCAAAGTTCGAGCTCCCGCCACCTTTGTTGTTTTTCTACACAACTTTCATTCTACATAACTTCTATCGAGTGATGCAAGAAACTGCTGACAGAACAAACATAAGATGTAATTTCAAACATCCAAAAAAGTTTCGAGACCTGTATCCCAAAAACAAGGCTTCTACTGATTGAGTGTTTTTTTTCATGTCAATTCGATGGGACTTGGGTAATGGATAAACTGGTGATTTTATACAATTCTTTGGTGTACGAGAGTTGCTAACGTTTCATAGACGTAGCTTATTTATTAAAGGTTTGGTAAAAGTTTGGCAATTGAAGAAATGACTGATTGTATTTTCAGTTGGGAGTTGGACAAAACCACTATTCTTTATACGTATTTGCCTGTTTCGTTTATGGATATGTTGTATGACTTTAAAGTCTTCCTCTTTTCCTTTTGCGCAATGTAGATAGTAAGGCCAGTCTCGCTTGTATATATCCAAGTGTTTGAGATAAGATTGGTAATATCTATTCAAACTTTTTGAAGTTCAGTGTAAATGCTAGGTTGCGTAGTGGTGAAGTTCTGATCTTAATTTTAGAGTAAATGACAGCCATTAGTCAACGCATGCACTAGAATTTTTGGGGCTTCACCTGATGGGCAGTAGTTTCCCTTCTGTAAAACTTCTACTCTGTGGTTTAGCATTAGTTTTGGCGTGGAAGATTTGACTGTATGGCTTACTTTGTTGTTTTTATTGGTTGTGTTCTGGTAGTCAAGAGAAAATGGTGCATAGCTTTACGTGACTTTTTACAGATTTTATCGCCTCTTTTGTCACCTGCTATCTGTATAACAGCTGTCAACCCCGAAAAAAACGACTTTGACCACTCAATCAACATTCAGAATCACAATCCACGGACCAATTCGATCTAGAATGGCTACCCCTTGAACTCTGCTCCTCATAATCTTAATGTTAGTCTTTATAGCAAATTCTTGTTAATTGACCCCCTGTTTCCCTAAAATCCACCTCAACCGCCCGATCAACATCCAGATCCATGATCTAGGGAAAAAAGTGATCTACAATAAATAGGTAGTATGAATTCTCTCATTTGGTGGCTATGCTCCATCTTCAACCTCTAGTCTACGAATCCTGTCTCTAGATCCGAGCCAGGTTTAAAAAAGTTGATATCATTAGCTGTAATTCAAGATACAGGGCTGTAAAAGTGCAAATTTGTTCAAAATCCTTGCCGTTTAAAATTGAAATAACAACGTTTGAAATGTGAATAAAAATCTGACCAAAAAATAGCTTTTCTAAAGTTTGAAAGCCTTTCGAATTAGATTGTTTTAGCAATGTACCAGTCTATTCTAAAAGTTATTTTCTCATCAAATCATTGTAGTGTGGTCTGCATTTTTAGCTTTATGAATGAAGCCAAAATAACTTGAACTTTTTAATGGCCATATCTTACCCATTTATTAATATAACTAGCTGTCTTTCCATATTTTGAGGTATTTCAAAGGTATATGGTCAAAAGCCAAAATTTCCAAAAATATTTTTTTAAGACTTCACACTTCAAATTTGCCCGACTATGGGCTGGGTGTCTCCAAGATAAATACAAAAATTGTGCCTCCATATTGCAACTGGTATTTTCCACAAACATTTGTGGAGCTGTATAAATGTATCCAGTTGAGCTAACACTGTGAAATTGAAAGCATTACAATCTTCAACCTTTATGCACGAAAAGCACAGCAATGGACATGCATTAAACTTTATTCACAAGCACGAAAATCTTGGCTTTTGGATACATTCGTGGCTTAACCTAGATGATACATTCTTTCTCTTAAAATGGGAAGTCGCAGTGGTCTAGAAAAATTAGCTCACCTCACTCCATAGAGATGGCTTACCCCAGTCAATGTACCATTAAATGATTAAAAGTGAACATCACTAACATCTGTGTCCACCGATTAAGCATTGTTTGTTTTAATGCACTTAGTCTATTAGCTCGGTCTGAAATAAATAGCCGTGAGTCCTCATGTTGTGTCACTTATCAAGAGTGGCTAAAAATGGCTGTTTTTTGCTTTGTGTTATTCTCCTTCACTCTCCTGCTGCCAGCAGCCAAAGGACTCTGCATACATGGTGTCTGCAAAGAGACGAAGCTACCTGGGAAACCCACATTTGTATCAGGTACACTTTACTCCCACTTCGAAATAACAAATTTTTTAAAGCTACCTCTAAATTGTAGGTTTTGTAGAACGATGGAACACGCCTATAGCTAAGACTTTGAAAATGGTTTTGAAAAAAGCAAACATTTTTCAACATATTGGCTAAAAGCTTTTTTGTCTGACACTCCTCGGAGCATAAAACGTCAGAATATGGGTCCGAAAAACACGATTATAAATATATACCCAGTTGTAGATCGAAAAAGGCCAACCAGAAGAACGCAAGTACAAGACCGGTATAGCTGACCAATCAGTGCCGCGTGCCTAAAGAAAAATTACCACTGGAGTCCAAAAGAGAAAACGAACTCCTTCTGTTTACACAATGGCGGCTTTTTCGTTTGTATGTAATGTAGATCGATTCCAAAACTGCTAGATTTTGACGACCGGGCTCTGCCAATTATCCGAAACTTGTCGTCATTTTAGAGTTTGGAACAATCTGGGTTGTGTTGACCGATGGCAGAATCACTTGTTTTAGCAGTGTTTCTAGACCTACAAGATCGAGGAGGCTGTTCTCTTGGAGGAGACAGTTTTGTTTCTTATGTTGGAAGGCACATGTTGTTTTATCCTATCCCTCAATCTTAGTTGTAGCTGACCAATCAGTGCACGGTCTCGTGCTTGCGTTTTTCTGCTTGGCCTATTTCGATCCACAACTAGGTATATATTTTTCATCGTGTCCTTTTGGACCCTTATTCTGACGTTTTATGCTCTGAGGAGTGTCAGACGAAAAAGCTTTTAGCCAACATGTTGTAAAATGTTTGCTTTTTTCAAAGACATTTTCAAGTTCTGTACCGCCAAAAAATAGTTTAGATTATGGTTAAAGGATAGTAAATTAATTGATTTCATCTCCATGATTTGGTAAAAGCAAATGATCCAGGCAAGACTTGTCAATGGTTAAATTAAACTTACACATGTGTAGCGTATACGCTAACATTACAATTTAATGTAGCAGAGTTCATTCTAGCAGAATAAATCTTCATTTAAAAGTAACCACGTTATAGAAGTTAAAGCAAATAATTTTTTCACAGACAATGTACCACCAAAAGTGCTGTACTGTCCGTCTGATATTGAACGCATAGCGAGACAACACAGCGTGATGGTAATTTGGCAAGAGCCAGTGTTTGAAGACGACGTTGATGGAAAAGCTATAACAGTTATGCCAAACAGACCCAACGGATCAATGTTTCCAAAAGGAGTATTCGCGATAATTTACCATGCTTTGGATCGGTCTGGAAATCAAGCGACTTGCCGATTCACGATAACTATTCGTGGTAAGCTATTTTATGATGCGAATCAACAGATTATCTAAGTCAAATCTTGGTTACAATCATGTGATATATTTCACGAATGAGCCGGTGTCATATGCATAATTTTATCCGTGTAACGCATGATATCATCACATATTCTTAGCTTTATGTTAGCTAGTTGCTGTTTTCTAACTTACATAAATTTATTATTAAGGTTTTGTGACGATGGATCTTTTCACAAACCTTTATTAAAAGTTGTTAGGAAACGCACATCCGTTGAAACACATTTGTGTCCTGTCCAACGCATATGCGCTTCACGCCATTCACAGCTAGGCCCTGCATGTCCGCCATTACACTGTAATACTTGAAACGCATATGCGTCTCGGCCCATGCAGAAACGCATGCCCATGCAGAAACGCATAGTACACCAGCCAATCAAAACTTAGAAACTGTGACTAGGTAGTGGTGCACGTGGGTTTCTGCTCGCCATATCAATAAAGTAAATATCAGATGATTCAACGTTCAAGAAAACAAAAAACTCGATCCGATTATTCAAAGTTCAAACTATAAATTGATTACTTAAATCGGGATAGTTACGAAGGGATAACAAACTTTCCAATAAGAATGCCATGTATATTAGGCAGTACAAATATCGGACTTGAATGCATTTATACTATTCTTATATTCATCATTTATTAATTCATTAAAAAGAATAAAAATATACTTTGTTGTTAATACTTTGGAAAACCAAAAGAATGACGCCCCCCAACTCAAAGTTCGGGAAATCCAATTACAGTTTCAAAACGTAACAGTTTACTTGGAATATTTTCATTAGACCAAACTTGTGAATTCTATATTTTAGGAATTTTTGGATTTTAAATGTGAAAATTTCAAACCTTATTCAAATTATGTAAATAAAGAAAAGGTCACAATAGCAGTCTGCTCGACGGACTCCAATGAGTTCTTGCGGCGGAAAATGCGATTAAGATGTAGCAAATAAGAAACACCGCAATGCGACGAGAACGAACAACAATAATAAACGTAAATTGACGAAGGCTAATATTTCGCCATATGGGGCTTCATCAGAGCAAAAGCGAAATATTAGCCTTAATTAATTTACGTTTATTGCGGTGTTTCTTATTTACTTCTCTTATTAAAATTTACAGTGTTGAGCGAACCCATCCATTAATCTTTTTTCTATTGTAAAGCCTTGTGTCCACTGGATCTTAAAATGCACCATTTTACCGTTTATTATTTTTTTGAAGGAGGTTAAGTTGAATTAAATCATTTTGAACAGGAAGGGTGAATTTCTGGATAAGAAACTTGAAACTTTACAATCAGTATTGAGCCCACAGTGTTGGAAAATAATACCATATATTGATCAGAAAAAATTGAAGTTGGAATTTTTAAAGAAACAACGAGTAGTTAATTCATAAAAATTTAAGCATCTTTCAGTACTAGAAATTCTCAACGCTTCATATAAAAACGAGTGTATGCTACGCTCTCCCTGTTGTTTGTAAACGTCCGTAACTCCTTATCGTAAATTGCTTTGATAAAGCTCCTGAGAAGCCAGAAAACATTGCAGAAGCTGCAGCAGAAGTATTTGATCGAAAAAGAGCGTTTCATCCTACGAATCATCTTTAATGTTCTTATGCTTAATGCTAATTAGTATGAGTATAATGTTGGTAATTATAAAGAAACTAGAAATCCGGTATTAGGAATATTTCCAAATATCGATTCGGTAGGTACAGTAGATTTACAGATAGAAAGAAAAATTCCTAGAGCAAAGTTGGAATTTTCATCCTTCTACGACCACCACCCTCCTCCACCCAAAAAAATTAGCCACTTATTTTCGTATATGGCCAAACACAAACTGTTATCAAAGACCATAAAGCAATGAGTTGATCAAAGCTTCTGGAACTCATTAAATGATTCAAGCAAGCATTTAATGCAAGAACTGCACCAATTCTGCCACGGACTCTAACTGTACCGACTATCTTTAGACTAGATATCCTCAAATGCATTATCTTACCTAATAAAATTCAAATTTTCTTCAACAGCACCTGACAATGTCTGCAGGGTTAGCAGTACACCGAAAAATGGGGCTCTTGCTTGTAAACACGATAAAACTGGAGTAACTCTTTGCGGTGTAGCATGCCAGTCGGGATTTGGGTTTGCAAAAACCAACTCATTTAACAACGTTTACGATTTCTACATGTGCTCCCCAGATGGATCTGTGTATGGCCTAAATGATTTCAGATCTGGGATAAAACTCAATCCAGGAAAAGCGCCGTGGCCAGACTGTACAAGTGAGTAGTATTTATCAATCATAACATTGCTACTAGCATATTCATGTTTAAGTTGCCTCGAACGACGAACCAAGAACATGGAAAAAGAATAATGTACGACAAATTCATCTGCACTAAATACGTGAATTCATTTTGTTATGCATTATCAAACGACGATTCTAGAATAAATGAACATCCATACAGTTAGCAAATTCGTGGTTTGATCTTTAAACTCTATGGGACAATTTTGACACTTCAGGATGGCAGATAAAACCAAGAATACCTAGTGATCTAGTCAAATCAGAATCTATTGTGCAACATTTTTCTGGATTGCTAGGGAAACAAAACTGTTAGGGAGATGAACAAGAAAGTCTTTTAATCAGTGAAGCAATCCCAATCTTGGAATCAAAGAGCATTTGCATGTAACATAACAATTTATGCATACTTAACGCGTGCTCTTTGATTCAAAGACATCTCCGCAACAAATAACAGATTTAGCCAATGCAATTTTTTCGCATATTTCAGTACGTAACTTAAGTTTCATTGAAGTTTGAAGAGATTAAAAAAGGACGAATTTACAAGGTGAGAATTAAAGCATGGCTTAGAGTCAGCCGGGGTGGAGATTTAGCGTGTGCCGAGAATTTGGCTTCGTTTCAAAGAAATTGCAACCCGGCGTGGGCTTTATCTATCTTGAGTTCAGCCCCAGTGCCCTTTAGTGCTCTGTGCTATGTCAAAGATAATTTCTTAACTTTCTTCGGTTAAAAAAAGGGACCATTTACATCCAGATTTTATTCCAGGATGAAATTTCGATGTAAGTTTGGCAAGGTAATTTGAACTCGCCCTGTATCGATTTGTTTCTATAAGCGAGTGCCCCAAAAATAAAGGACTCTCTTAGAAAAGCGAGTTGAAACTAAAGCGGAGAGGAAACTCTCTTGCATACAACGCTCATAACAGTCGTTTGAAATTACATTCCAGACAATTATCAACCTGGTACTGCTACCAAACACTTCGCAACGATGTCAGGACCATGTTCTGACACCAAAACAACAGTTGCGCTGCAGACAAAGTTTTACAATGCAATCAACACAAATCCATTAGCAAGAACAGTTGCATGCTCAACATCAAGTTGCTTGCCTAGCAATATACTGGTCAAGTGCTAAAAGGTGAATAAAAGGTTTGACTTATAATTATGATCTTAGGCGCTCAAATGTGTCAGAATTAGTGATTACGAGGATGCATGTATTGAAACGAGGTCTTATAGGCGGTAATCAATCTTTACATAGCGTTACGCGATCAATCAAACTAAATCAAGAACTCATACATTCTATCCAGTAGAAACTCAAAGACGATATCTAACCTTTACGTTATACTATACATAATGAATATTTCTCTTTTCCAGGGAAAGCGATCCATCATTCAAGGATATTCAATAAATTATCGTTGATAATTAGAGCATTTATTGTGGATTTAATTAATTAATGCTATAATACGATATCATTTCCAAAGATATAGCGAATGGATGGTTTATTTTTTATTTTTGGCTCTAAGACACTTAAACTGAAACTTCAATTGCCTTAAAATACAGAACAATGAAAAATTTTAAGTGGTTAAAATAATGTTTGAAAGAGAAACTAAACAACAGTTACACAAATAGCAGCGTGCAAAAGTTACATATTTTTCTGAAAAAAAATCAAAGAAGGGTTTATAGGATTATTAAAAAGCAATGCTTCTGTCTTGGTAGATGGAGCATGTTTGTTGTGTTCATAGTCGCAAAAGTTTATTTGCGATGAAACATAACTCATAAAAGAGTGAGGAATAAAACTGTTTCTGCCATAAACCGATAGAGCATGCACTCTTTCGAGAAAAAATTTAAACCTCACTTCGTCACTTGAAAACTGTAAAGATTCGCAAACTTGTAATGAATTTAAAAGTAAGAAAATCTCTCCGTATTGCAAAAAATTCGTAGAATGGTACATGATTAAAATGCTACAAAGTGACCTCAGAGTTTCATCCCTTTTTATACTCCCTAAGAAAATATTGCTATATTGTTCTAAGAAAAGTTTTAGGCTTAAATTTCAAATTTGATATAGATTATTTAGAAAAATTGTGTGTATATCAGCTGAATTTTATGCTAAAAAATCTGATTGAAACAATAAACCCACCAATATGGTAATTTGCGTTCCAGGTAAAAGAGAGGCCATAGTAAAAAGAATGAATGAATGAATGAATGAATGAATGAATGAATGAATGAATGAATGAATGAATGAATGAATGAATGAATGAATGAATGAATGAATGAATGAATGAATGAATGAATGATACAAGATCAACTTTCTTGAAAAAAAGATTCACCACGTTTCACCTACTTTACAACTCTTGGATCAGACTTGGTCCATTCTCTAGATATAGATGCAAAGCTCCAGGGTTTAAAACACAGGGCCGTTACAATGGGGAGGGGGGGCGTGTGAGGGAAGTGGACCTTGATTAAGAATTACCATATCAATGAAGAAGTAGTAAAATATTTATTAAAAAGTAGTGTTAAATAAATTAAAAGGAGGTACCACATAAATTAAGAAGTAGTGCCATATGAACTAGGTGGTAGTACCTGTAGCAGCCAAAAAAATTAAAGAAACGACTTTCCTCGACACAAAACCATTCTTTCTCGTTGCTGCAAATTAGCTAGGTTTCAAATTACAAAAAAATTGAAATAAACTTAACAAACAGAATGGCAAAATATAACAAAGAATCCAACTAGGGTTTGATATAATCACAAAACAAAAATGAGTAACGTACTGAAATAAGTTGTGTCTATTAATTCAGCGTCTTCAAAAGCATAAACTTTCAAAAATCAGAAAACAGAAAACAAACCCGTACATCATGCTTGGTCACAAAATAGAATTACAACACAAAGACATCTTTCAACTTTCACCTAGAGTGAGGAGAGTCGCCAGCTCTCTATAATTCCAGGCATAGGAATCACGAGGTGTGGTCAGATCAAAAGGGAGGACTAGGACACTGCTCGATAAGCATAAACTTTTCAGTGTCCTAAAAATTATCATCGGATGCTAGGTAGAAACAGAGTAAAATCAAAGAAAATAAAACAAAATAACACACAATGATAAGCGTTTAAAATATAAACGTCACTTTCGTCTCTTTCGGTATCATATTGATTCAAAAGTAGCACCATGATAATTAAGATGTAGTATAATATTAATCCAGAAGTTGCACCATATTAATTAAAAATAAAGTACCAAATAAATCAAGAAGTACCACCATATTAATTCAGATGTAGTACCAAATTAATAAAGAAAAAGTACCATATTAATTAAGAAAAAGTACCATATTAGTTAAGAAGTAGCGCCATATTAATTCAAAAGTAGCACCATATTAATTAAGAAGTTGCACCATATAAAATAAGATGCAGTACCATATCAATTAAGAAAAAGTATCGTATTAATCAAAACGTAGCACCATATTAATTCAGAAGTAGCACCATATTAATTCAGAAGTACCATATTAATTAAGAAGAAGTACCATATCAATCCAGAAATAGCACCATATTAATTCAGAAGTAGCACCATATTAATTAAGAAGAAGTACCATATCAATCCAGAAATAGCACCATATTAATTCAGAAGTAGCACCATATTAATTAAGAAGAAGTACCATATCAATCCAGAAATAGCCCCATATTAATTCAGAAGTAGCACCATATTAATTAAGAAGAAGTACCATATCAATCCAGAAATAGCACCATATTAATTCAGAAGTAGCACCATATTAATTAACAGATTGCGACAAGCACAATATAAATAAGATTCACAAGTACCATGATCATGTAGCAAAGATTATGTGTATTAATCAAAAACGTAGCACCAATTAATCAAGATGAATAAATCGGGCCCATAAATATTGGATTAAGAAGTGAGAGCATACTTATACTTAATAGAAGTAGCACTATTATAAATTTAGTTAAGATATGACAGTACCATATAGCACACTCTAGAAGAAAGGTACCATATCAATCCAAGAAATAGGCACCATATAATTAAGTTAGTAAGTCAGCACCTATAACATTAATTAAGAAAGATACTCATTATTCAGACCTCGAAAATAGTCAAAATAAATTAATTAAGAAGTAGCACAATTTTAATTAAGAAGAGTTATATAAATCAGAATCCAGAAATCCGCAATTCCCCAGTTCCTATATACATTCAGTAAAGTAGACACAGTCATATTCGAATTATAGAAAGTCACTATTAATTTAGATCAGTTAATAGCACCATTTAATCCTCGCAGAATAACACCATAAACTATAATTTACAAGAAAGCGAAGTAACCTCATATCATATTTCCAAGCAAGATATAGCCACCAATATTTAATTTCAGAACTAAGCACCATAATTAAATTTTAAGATAGAGTACCAATATCAATCATACCAGATTATATTATGAGCAAGCACAATATTATAATTCCAAGAAGGTCATCCATCAATAATAATCTAATATAAGCAAAGAGTCACCTAGATCAAACCAGAAATCAGCACACACATTAATATCAGAGAGTAAGCACCATATTAATAAAGAGTCATAATCATAGTTCTTATGTTAAATAAAGCTGCTCTATATAATTAAAAAAAAGTTAAGAGTAGCGACAATTATTTGAATTCCAAAGAAGTAGCACAATATCAATCCAGAAATAGCAACCATATCAATCCAGAAATAGCCCATATATAACAGAAATAGCCCCATATTAATTCAGAAGAAGTACATATCATCCGAGATAATAGCACCATGATTAATAAGAAGTTAGCACGATCATTAATGCAAGTAAGAAGATAGTCCCATATTGCAAAAAATAATACAAGAAAATCAGACTCCACATATTAATTTCAAGATAATTGAGAGCCCCATTATTATATTCAGACAGAATGTATGGAACCAATTAATCAATACGAGGAAATAACACCAGATATTTAATATCAAGGAAGTAGCGACCATTATTACTTTTATAATTAAGGATAAGAAACGTTAGATAATATGCAATCCAGAAATAGCACCAGATATTTATATTTCAGAAGTGTGTATAAACACCATATATTATATTAAGAACGAAGTCCCATATCAATCCTAGAAATGTTAAGCACCAACAAATGGTATTGACAGATGGTGAATGTCAGTAAGTATTAGAACTGACCTATGTATAATTAAGATCGAGTATACCAGTTATATTCGCAAATTTAAATGAATATAGGCCCATTACTTAATGAACTCTAAAAAGTAGCGTACCGTTATTCAATTAAGAAGAAGTACCTTATTTATCGAATTTCCTATACGAATAGACCTACATTAAATTCAGAAGTTAACACCATAATTAATATTAAGATAGTACCATTCAATCCAAGAAATGCACCAATAATTAAGTATCGGAAGTAGCACGATATAAATTTAATATAGAGATTGTTCTATGAATAATCCATGATGTCAAATAAATGTCACTCCAAAATATTAACCGAAGAAGTAGCAACCTATATTAATTTCAGAATGTAGCGATATATTAATTAAGAAGAAGTACAATATCAATCGGAAGAATGCCCCATAATTTATGTAAAGTAGACCCATATTAAATTAAGAAAAAAAGTGCATAGGCATAAATCAGGGAACTAAGCAACGCAAAAAGAATACTTAAATTCAGTAAGTGAGCAACCAATATTTAATTAAGGAAGAAAGTACCCAAAATTATACAAATTCCTAAAATTAGAGCGACCACTCTATACTTTAATAAGCTATAGAAGAAGATAGGCTCTTCTACTATACTTTATAATTAAGAAAGGAAGTGATACCCATATCACATCTCAAAATTAGCCCCATATTAATTTCAGAAAGTAGACCATATCACACTTAAGGATAGAGTCTACTCATATTCCAATGACCTCAAAAAGTATAGCAATCCATTATTAATTCAGGGAAAGTAAGCACCATATGTTAAATTAAGAAGAAGTAACCATATGCTCATAATCCTAGAAAAAAGCTTACCATTTGGATTAACAGCAAGATACCGGCTCCTATATAAATTAAATCTGCACAATAGTGCACCATATCAAATCGATGAATAAGCACAAATAATCGAATCCACGATGAATTTAGTCATATTTATCAATCGTACACATGCCCTATATAATTCAGAGTTATCACCAATCAATGCCTGCTAGGCGTCTGTCATTTTAAACAGACTACTGAATATTTCTGAAAGTGTTGAGTGCACTTTCATGAGATATGTTTGTCTTACGGACAAACAATGTTATCAGTTTGAGGAAGTAATGAGACTGACAGAGTCGTTAAAATTGGTATACTTGGCTGCAAGCCGGAATATTGAGGAATAAATAGGCCATACTCCACAAAGAGAAGTGTTGTCCTGCAGATAGTGTTAAGTTCATATGCGGTTAATTGAAGATGGACACGAGCTAATAAATGTTTGGTTTACTCTCTTGTCGTACTGATCGGCAGCTACTTGGCACGTGAAACAAAATACTTATACACAATTGACTAGGGAAATAAAAAGAATGACTATAAAAACTAAGAAACAAAAACCTTTCACCCCAAAATATCAAAATTTTAAATAGAATTAGGCCTCTGGTTTACGCACCTTGGGGCATTGTTATCGTTGCCATTAGGCCGTATCATCACAGCTATAACACACAAAGTGAACCACCATAAAAACATAATGAGTTGGGTTGTTAGTTGGGATGGAAATATGGCTACATCATTTTACTCTTCGGCTTTTTCTGTCATGTTGCGGATATCCTATTGCAGACGGTTCTGCATTTCGATATTGTTTTGTGTTGAAGACATTCAGAGCCAGTCTCTCGACTGAGATTTGGCGCGACTGACAATGTTGGGAGTTCAAATAGGCAATATCGGTCATACTAGTTCGGACACAAGACACATTAAGACCACATTTATGTGTACGAGACTAACGTATTTTACGCTGAGATAAAAGGAGAAGATGCTACAAAAGCACTGATTTTGCATGTGAGTTCCATTTCACACATCTACTTGTCATTAACAGATAGGGAAACGTCTACCAACATACTAATAAACTACATTTGTAAGCAGCAAATTATCATTCATTAAGGACTGCTGGAATACGTCACAAGCAGCGG